TGTATATAACAGTGTATGGATGCAGTTTTAGATGTACTTTCTCTCTGATCTTCATTGGATATGTCACTATTAGACCTTACAAACCATTAGCGAAGATTCATGTTGAGAGTTATGAGTAAGTTACTGAATGTGATTTGTGTACACCATGAAAACCCTTTGAATTTTGATTGGGTGTACCATGCTAAAATACATGCTTGCCATGTTTGGAGTTCAAGGGAAATTAGCATTTTGTTGTAGTTGTTGGATGGATAGTTATTCAACTGCCTGTTGTGGTTTTTTTCCGCAATGATGAATGCTAATGTAATTTATTTTGGATGTTTAAAGGACCATGTTCAGTTCTGAATTAACAGAAAGAAGACTCAATACATTAAATATTAAGTTTAAACACTGTTTTCACTTTACAAGGAAAGTTACTTTTTTGTGTTGGAGAGAAATTGCTGACTGACTCAAAACTGAATTGATGTTTTATTTCCTGATTCCCTCTGCCCACATGTTGCAGTGTCCGACCTCAAGATGCTGAACACTGACCCCTTCTGCCTTATATTTAGTAACCATTTAGCAACAGGTTAAACATTGTGTTCAATGTCAAATCACTGCACACAGTCATCAGCACACCTTATGGCTTTGTCTAAATGAGGACAGGTGGAAGCAACGTCCTTGAAATCCCTCTGGAGGAGCTTGAGGACGCTGCTGCAGAAATATGGACACTAAGTTGCTTTATCAGCTGCCATGACCTTATAATAGATGGGAATAATCCAATTTCACAAAACTGCTTAAAAAGATCATTGTCTTAGGCATGATAACTTAATATGCAACTGTAACAAAAAAATGTATATGAATGAGTAATGCACACTAAGCAGAGCAGAACTTACCTACTTCTAACCAACAATCTGTCTAGTTAAGAAATGTCAGTACGAAGTAGCATATTCTGCACAAATCCATCCAGTGCCAGCACCATTCCCTTCTATCACTTGGCGGAGTACTAGTACTGACATAAATAATTAGTGCCAATTTGGAAACAAAATGGTTCCTCGTTGATGGTGTTGGCTTTTGTAATATATATTATGAAAAAAAAACATTCCAGATATTAACCAAATTCCTTCTTTTCACTGGACTGTTATGAGCTGGAAGCTTTCATGAGTGGTGAGATGATGGACCTCCTCATGTTATTGTAATGAGTAGTGACTGTTTAGTCTGTAAAGTGTCATTTGTAGTTCTATTTTGGAAAATGTCAAACCAGATGTGATCATAATACATGTAACATTAAATATTATGAACAACATAGGCCTACATGGTATTACCATAGACTGGGTATTACTGATGTATTGACAACAGGAAGTAGCGATTTGACAAGTAGTTAAACTGTTTGTAGCCTACTTTTTTTTTTACTGTATCTCTAATACAAATGTTTTATCAAGGAATTTGATTATGTCACATATTCAACTGTTTAATAATAATAATAATAATGTCGCTTTTATTTGATATGTTCGCCTTTCGTCCTTTTTGGTTGCTCAGGGCACCCATACCGGAATACCAAGAATATACCGCCCTCAGAAACTGAAGGAGGCTCACGTTCACGAGCTCAAAAATTATCGTGAAATTACCCCATCACAGTTTGAAATAGTGCGTACCAAACAAACACCGCCCTACCGGTCCGGTGACATCCGTGTTTACTAAAATATGGCGGCACAAGGAGACCGCGGTGTCCCGCTCAGTACAGTAAGTAGGATTTACTTGGTTTTAATGTTGACAAACTGTGGCGTGAACTGCACCAATGCAGATATAGCTAAGAATAGTATATATAATATATCGGTAACGTTAAAGAGCTCACGCCACGGTCGATGTTTATTGATATGTTTCAATATGCCATGATGACGGTCAGACTGCTCTTTGGTGGCATTTATTCCGTGTCAGCTAGCACAATTAAGATTGAATTATTACTAGGTAAATGCAGTGGTGTAAAGTAAGTACATTTACTCGAGTACTGTAGCCTACGTGTACAATTTTCGAGGGACTAGTACTCTACTTGAGTATTTAATCTATGTTGCTACTTTCTACTTCTACCCCACTACAATTCAGAGGTAAATCTTGTAGCCTACTTATACTCCACTATATCTTTTGAATACCTTTAGTTACTTTGCACATTTGGATTAATGATGTGAAACATATACAACTCTTAAAATACATTGTTTACACCTGGAGTAACCCTTACAAACTACCCTGCAGCATAAAGTAAATAAAACCAGCTGAGTTTTAACCAGCTGTTCAAACACATTAATGCATCAGTAATTGTAATAAAAACATATGATATATATTATTCTGTAATGGGCTAATGTGCACTTTCAGTTTTGGTTCTTTAAGTATATTTTGATGCTAATACTTTTATACTTTTACTTGAGTAACATTTTGAATACATGCCTTTTAGTTGTACCAGAGTATTCCTAAATTTACTTAAGTACAAGATCTGCATACTTAATTATTCCACTACTGANAACTTTCGCGATGGTCTGAACGGGGGGGCTCAGAGTAGGGGCGCCCGCTGTGCGCCGCGTCCGCGCCCTCGAGAGGGCGGCCCTCGTTCTTCCGCTGCGTGTGCGTGACGAATAGTGCCGCTCCCGTGTCGTGTGGTGCCCCATATTAAACGGTCGAGAAAACCCCGGTTAGAGGAGAGTATCAAGGTCGTTTTGTCGTTAGGTACAGGGCAGTTAGGCATACACTTGTAGCGCGTGCGTCAAGTAGAAAGTGAGCGGTTTATCTTTGACGATACTCTCGGGTAGATCAGGAACCGAGTTAACACGAATAACGACACCTTAGTGGCCCACAATTGAGTAACAGACAACAGGAAGCCTAGGTATAGTTCTTCACTTACAAGCTCTTCGGAACCTCTCACTGTACCTCGACCCCGTTTCTCCCGTTCTCTCCGTTTTCTCCGTTTCTCGCGTTTCTCCGTATTCGGACCCGTTTGTCCAGCGATTTCATTTCCGTTCGGAAAACTGACGCGAACCCCGTACACTAACGACCTCAATATTGGTGTTCATAAGCTAGTTCGACAGTAAGATTCGTCAGAGGACTTATTGAGATTGGTCCCGCTTTTTCTCCTCTGTCAGGCTCCTTCCTCTGGGCCTCACTCCTGCTTTGTGGCGCTCCCTTCCTCTGTCGTTTTCCTCCTCTCACGGACTCCTCTCTCCTCTACTCCTGTGCGTCCGTCTCCTCTCCTCTGGTCCCGCTTTCTCCTTCTCAGGACGCCTCCGATCCTGCCTCTACCCTCTGTAGAGTGTCGTCTACTGCCCTCTGTCCCGTTTTGTCTCCGTCCTCTGCACCGACTCGCTCGTCCCTCTCCGCTGCGGTCTGTCCGGTTTGTCCTCTCTCACGACTCCTCTTGCCTCTTGTGCCCATCTACCCTCGTCCATCTGGTCGTTTTCCCTCCTCTCGAGACGTCCTCTTCTTTCCTCTCGCCTCTTGTGTCGTTTTCCTCGCTTCTTCAGAGCATCCTCTCCTCCTCCTCTTTCGGTGGCCCTCTGCGCTGCTCGTTTCGCTCCTCTCAGACTGCCTGCGTCCTCCCTCCTCCCGCTTGTTCCGTCTGCCTCTCCATGTCGTTTGCCCCTCAGACTCCGCTTCTTTTTCTTCCGCTCCTTTGTCAGCCCTCTCCTCTCTCTGGGGACTTAGCTTTTAAAATCTTGTTCAAGCTGTCCACTCTGTAGTTGGATCTCATGACCTCAGCTTTATGACCCACCCGGCCTGAAAAAGGGTGTCTACGATGGCTGGTACTGAGAGGTGTTATGGTCCTCTTCTGCCTTTTGTGTTTGGGGGGCGTGAAGGTGAGAGGAAGACTACTGTCATGTGGGGTGTGTTGCTTTACGTCCTCCAAAAGATCCTTTAGTCTTGATATCACTGTATACATGAACGTCTCATCCTGTAGGTGGTATGTGTGCTCAGTAATTTCCCGCAATAAGGTCCCACACTGCTGTCGTTTCCTATCTCTTGAGGACTTTGAGTGGTTACCACTGCTCTGATTACAACGAGAGTTAGAACGACGTCTCTTCTCGATCTTCCCGCGATCTTCCCGCGTCCCGCCCACCCCGACCCTTTCCGATTACAGCCGAGCCGCTCCGATTACAACGAGAGTTAGAACGAGAACGTGACGTCATATTTACATTAGACGGATCCTTTCTAGCCATAACCCTGCCCCCAGGCCCCGCCCCCAGGCACCGCCTGTTTTTTCCTTACAATCAATGAACCCCTTCAAATTAAAGCTGTATAACTACTTGATCAAGGAAAAGGACTACTTGTTTATTTGAGTAATGTATAACCAACATGTGTATATATTCAGATACGTTATGTTAACTGTGCCGGTATTAGTCAAAACACATTGGATAAATAGAAATCAGTATGCTATAACAGCATAATACAATTCCTTGCATTATGGCAGGTCGTTTTTTTTATGTGTTTGCTTCAACAGTAGTACCTCAAAGGTAGGGTAGGTAATTCACTTCAGAAACACTTTTTGTTATATTCCATGGAATGCTCTTAACATCCCGATTGCAATGAATACATTCAATGCTTTGACAATAAATATATACAAATATTTCTTCTGTGGAAGCCGTGGCGCTGTAAAAAGCAAGTCCAATTATCTGCCTCGGCCATCCATAACTGGATGGCCTACCTGCCTGTCAGCCTTCCATCTCGTGCACAAACTTATCTCGTGCCCTCATTGGTCATATGCGCGTCCGTGTGTGTTGGAGGAGGGGCTCTGTAAGGAAGTCTGAAGGAAGGGGCAGATTTTTTTCGGTTGTGTACTTTCAAATTCTAGCTTACTCGAGCTGGTTTCTCCATTCTTACCTACACTACCTTTTAATTTAGGTTTATAAAACATATTCTTTTTCTTTTTAAAATCTTACGTTAAGTAGGCAAATTGAATCCATTTAATTGTAAGTAATCTGTGTTGTGTCCAAGAGAAAAAGATGATTTTCCTTAAAACCTGATACTGACTTTTGATATCTCTTCATTTGTATGAGGTTATAATTGTGTTTCTACTGTCCGCAGGCATATTGCAGTATTCTCTACTTGAAGCCTCGGATGCAGATCATCGTACGGGGTCAAAAGGTGAAATCTCAGCTCATTGCTAAGACACTGGCCTTCGTCAGAAAGGACCACTACAAGCCCATTTTCCTGGTATCCTTTCTTCACAGAGAATAGATAATTGTGTATGATTTGGGAAATTGTTGTCCTGTCTTTGTCTTGTCACGTGTTTCTTGAGTTTCCCTTACATTTTATTTTAGACCAAACGCATTCCCATCATTTTTGGCTATAACACCAGAAGTAAAGACCAGTATGGGATTATGCTGTATCACAAGAATCGGCTCATCAAAGCCTATGAACGTGTAGGCTGCCAGCTCAAGGTTAGTTGATTTTGTTTTGTGGAGTGTGTTTGTATATTACACATTTTCAAGGGTTTCTAAATGTCATCATCTGGTATTCATGTTTCTGAACCGTTGCCTTCTGCAGGCCAACAAGGAAGGAGTTGGGGTCATAGGGATCATAGAGTGTTTCTATCTGGAACCTACCCACAACAAACAGAGCTTTGATGAGACAGATAAGTACAGGTAATGCTATCAATTCTGTTTTGATTATCTCGGTACGATTAAAGCCCAGGAATACAGAAATCTGAAGTATTCATTTCTTTTTATAGGAAAACAATGAACAGCTTGGGGACCAAACTGGAGGAGTACTGGAATGAAATAAACTACAAGAAAAAACAAGAGAATCCAAACAGCACCATACCCATGGAAGATACCACGTTAGTACATTTTGCAGGGACTATCATCGTGTGATCTACATTTCTACATATTTGTCTAGCAATGTTTGCTTTCTACATGCTCTGATACTTGTCTCTTTCTTTGTCCTTAGGAAGCGACCGGATCAAAACTGGGTGATGTGTGATGAGTGTTTGCACTGGCGCAAACTCCCTGATGGGATCGACACCGACAAGCTGCCAGATAAATGGTCCTGCCATTTGAACCCGGATCCGCAGTTCAGGTAACTAGAGCATTCTCCAAAACCCAGTTGCAATGATAATAAGCTTCTGTGATAAATAAACTAATATACATTTCTATCCACATCTCCTTTTTTTTAAATGCCAAGTTAAACTCCATAGAAGTATGTCTAGATCTACACACACGCCTGTGGATACATCAGATACTAGAGCCACTAACAAACCTCTAAACATAAACAGATGTTTTTCAAAGGATTAAATCACAATAATCATACTATTGACTCCAAATGGATCTCCAGGTGCAGATTGACTGTCTGTTTATAGCTGTAATAACTTGTTTATAATACTAGTTAAGGCAGATAAGCAGGGACATTGCTGGACTACTGAGCGGTGCCTAATCAAGACAGTTGGGTTAGGAGTCAAATGTGAAATGGCTGAGTAGATTTATGATTTAGGTTAATAACCTCTACAGGGCGTGGTTATAGGTCAAAACACCATTTAAGGCAAGGCAAGTTTATTTATATAGCACATTTCAACACAAGGCAATTCAAAGTGCTTTACAAAAATGAAAGACATTAAGAGCATTAAGAAAAATATTATGAAATGACATTTAAAAACACTCATTTAAAAGCAAAGATACATGAATTAAAGTTACAGTGCAGTGTGAGATACACACATCTGAAACGTTTAGGTCTGACTCTCAATCATTGCTCACTTTTTAGCAGAAACAGTTTTCTATGACCTCACTTTCTTTCCTCTTTCTTGTTTAACTTGTCCTTTAGTTATTTCAAGTGTTTCATGCTAAACGAACCTCCCTTTGGAAAATTATAATCTGACCCCAGGGTACCTTTTTAGTTTTTGCCAAAACTATTCCTCTTTTTTTAAATGCACATCAATGAAGTTTAAGTTGTCCTTTCTATTTAACATGAATCTCAGTCGTCCACAGAAATACTACTCCAACTTTAACCACATTGTTCTTTGATTTGAAATGAGAAGCATCTTCATTTTCTCTCCCAGGAGCTGCCAAGCAGAACAGGAGCCTGTGGACTCAGATGACGATCTGCAACCTTCATACCGCAAGACGTATAAACTAAAGTGAGAATTTTTGACACTGCCCAAAAAGGTCATTTAGTGCTCAGACTCAAAATGAATTGCATATATTGTGAAATCAATCACACCCTAAATGTTTCTGACGTTCGTAACTTGCTTAACTGTGCTTGTGTATTATCTACAGAGAAAGGGAAGACATGAGGATTCAAGAGCAAACGGTAAGGACGCACCCTATTCTGTAATTCACCTGTTTCCTCCACATGGTACCAAGTCTGGTGTAACAAGTTATTTTAATGATAGTATTTGTTTCTAATTATTTAAAAGTACAGATTTCTCTAATAGCACTAAAATATAGATTTATTTTTCTAGGCTGAGGAGGCTCGAACGGCGCTGCGTTTGGCTAATCTCGCCAAGCAGAAAAAGGCCCAAATACAGGTTGGGAGAGACGACTAACTGTGATGTCATTTTACTGAAGAAGCCGCTTGTGTTTAACTGTCTACTTTTTTTCTTGTTGACAGGCTGTCGCTTCCCCCTCCACACATACTACTCCAAAGAGTAGGTCTAACAACATTTTGCCCCTAGGGGGGGCTGCGAGAGCTCTCTCCGCTCCACTGAGGTCCCCCCCCCTTTCACAAGCTGGTATGTGTGTCTGCGTTCGGTGTTATGTGTTTGAAAGAGAGCGAGAGAAAACGTTTTAGAGATTAAAAGATATCTGTTTTATTTCTCTCTAGCTTGCAGCCCTTCAAGTAGCAGTGATCTTCCATATATATCCGGTGTTTTCTCACTGGCAAATCTCCCTCAGAGGTAGTTTTTATCTGCTGTTTACAAGCATAAATGTATCCATGTGACTTTGTTCAAGAAGCATTCTAATTGTGCTTTGTGTGCACAGCAGGGGGAAAAGAACTCAGCCGGCTTCTCCACAAATAACCCCCAAAAGGCCGAGACAGAATGGCTTCCATCAGGGCAAATTAGACCTATCAACATTAGTGAATGTGAGCCCACTGAGCTCCCCACCAGTTATCAGTGAAAATGATGAGGACACTGATGATGATGTATGCATCTTGGAGACGGTCAGTACCCCCAAGCCAACAAGTCTGTCTTTAGACTTGACTAAAGTGAAGACCGAGGTGGAGCAAAGTGATGCTGACGTGGGCATGCTGATGGAGTGCAGCGATGATGCTGCTTTGGATAACGGCCCAGACATAAATGCTGCGGGAACGAGCTCCTCAGCGTCTGCAGCTGTGGGAACCAGTACCTCCACAGCACCCCCCACAGGGGTGTCCACCAGCACCACCCAAACAGATGTACCCAAAGTAAAGAAGGAAGAGGAGGACCAAATTCCAACTGAAGAGGAGGAGAGAGTGGGGCTGAGTACATCTAATATAACAAAGCCTTCAGGTGTCTGCAGGGTGGAGCAGAGTGTAAGGAAGGAAGCGAGCAGTGGAGATGCTCATTGTGAGAATGAAGGAGACCTCACCTTGCAGAATGGAGTGACACATCATGAAGATAGTGAGGAAGAAGCTGGACCTTCCTGGGCTCAAAAAGACTCTCCACATCCCCACCCCAGTGTGATTGAGGTACAGGGGCAGCAGGACCAGCTTCTAGAGCTCATGCAGGAAATCGCTCAGGAGAGAGACTCCTTTAAAGAGCAGGTGCACAGTCTTATCTGCCAACTGCACGACACGAAGAGCAGACTGCAGGAGCTGAGCAGTGTGAAGAAGGAGAGCTCCAACCAGGCCAGCCAGACGGAGGAATCTGAGAAGGACTACAAAGATCTGTTTGAGAAGGCCAAACAGAAAGTGGAAGAACTTATTAAGGAAAAGGTTTCACTGGAAGCCACCAAACCCAGTACTGCCCAATGTGAGGAAAAGGACTTTGACGAGATTGCTATGCAAGTTGACTGTCTGATGCGACAGCTGGATGAAAGACAAAAGGAGAAAGATGAACTGCGCTCACAGGTCAGTCTTACAGCTGTATACGCAGTGTAGCGTACAACAGTGGTTCCCAACCACTGGTACAGGGACCCCTAGGGGTACTTGAGGGGATCGCAGGGGGTACGCAGGTCCATTCATCGCCAAATAAATAAATAACTTTTGTCTTACATGAATACAGAAAATAACATTGTTTCTTTTCAAATATGACGGATAAAAGTGACTGTTCAGAGGGGAGGGGTTGCTTCCTAAATAAGTAGTGAGTCTTAACATAATTATTTTTACCTGACAACAAGTGTACATTTCAAGTTTAAATGCATTTGTATTGAATGTGAGTTATACAATGGATTTTCCTTTAGGAGTAGTTGGGTTGAACACGATAACAAAGGGTTTAATACACGAAAAAATGTAGGCAAATTATAACAGATGAGTGAGGGGGTACTTATAGAATGGCGAGCAGCTCAAGGGGTACACGAGACAAAAAAGGTTGGGAACCACTGCTTTACAGGTTCACTGTGTTAGAAA